AAAAATCCATTTTCTAGCTTTATTAGAACCCAAAATATAAATAACTGAAGGCTAGGAGGCGCAGACAGCGAGACATTCTAACTGTGTGCGTCTCTATCTCTTCAGGTATCAATTTTTAAAAAAAAGTTTCAACAACAAAAATGAAGCTCTAGTTTTGTTTAGTATTCTTTAAAATTGTTAGACAATTTGAAACATTTTGAGGCCCTGTTTTCTGCGGCTCCATTTTAGCATGGTCGCCCACTAACTGCTGGGTACCTTAACTTTGACGCTATTTATCTCAGTGCTGAATTTAGCTATCAAAAAGTTGTCAACTAATAAAATGTGTAAAATTCAATTTTCTACATTTTATCAGTTAACAACTTTTTGATATCCTAATTGGAAGCGGAGATAATTGAGGTCAAAGTTACTAATCATCTATTTTTCTTTCAAACTTCAACTGACACCGCTATATCCGATTGAAAAAGGGCAAAAAAAGGTTTAAACGAAAAAAAGAAAATTTATAATAAATGAAGATGATGATTGATCTTGACATATATATCTAGTACTATTAAGAAGAAGAAAATCGAATTACGGCGGTAAAAAAGGGCGGCAAATGAAAGGAATTGTTGACCTCATGCTAAAGAAGAGGGGACGAGTAAAAAAAGAAAATAAATAAGAAGAAAAAGAAGACCAGTTGATCTTTGATCAGTGAGACTTCAAAAAGAAGACAACATAAATAACTGGTAAGCTATAGAAGACACTAGAGTTGTTTACGATGACTGCGCAGCTCATTAGGCATCAGTAGGGAACCAACCCCGTAGCTCAGCGAAAACTCGTCACAATTATTTGAATTTTACATTGTTTTGTAGCCCTTAAAAAGTTCTATACACTGTACATTATTTGAGCTTAAAAGGTAGAGCTTAAAGCAAGTTACGCCGCCGCAACCGATTTGAGCTGCGCAGGCGACGCCGGCCTGTAGCTCAGCGAAGACGCCGCGTAGCTCAGCGAAAACTTGTCACAATTATTTGAATTTTACATTGTTTGTATCCCTTAAAAAGTTCTATATACTGTACTTTATTTGAGCTCAAATAATTGAGTTTGAAGCTAGTTACACCGCCGCTACCGAATTGAGCTGCGCGGTCGACTTCGGCACGTAGCTTAGCGAAAACAGCGCGTAGCTCAGCGATAGCTTGTTCAAAATTAGTCAACGTTAATTTTTTTTGTAGCCCTTAACTAGCTGTACATTTTCCAGGTTAGATTGTTTAAAAATATTGATTTTTAAAAAAGTTATGAGCTAAAACCTGCCAAGGTTCCCAAAAATAGGTTTGAAAAATCGAAAATTCGAAATTCAAAAGTTCAAATTTGGCGCCAAACCAATGTACTTCAACACCGGAAACTGTGACTCTGACCTTTTTCCATATATATTGTTTGTATGTGTACACGAAAAACGAACAAACATTGAATGGGGATTTCAATGAAAAGCGAGAGATAAGGGGAAATGAAGAGATGCAGATAAAGAAGAGAAAGATGGCGAAGCGCCAGCGGGTAAAAGAGTAAACAACTTGTTGAAGAAACGAAATTTAGAAAAAAGAAGGAAACAGAAAAAGAAGAAGGGTTTGAGGGAAACATTTTTCGAAATTTTTCTAAAATTTTAAATTTAAAAAAAAAACAGGAAAATTGGGAAATTTTGAAACCAGGACATACCAAATTTGAGTCTCAGAAAACTAGGTTCAAATTTTTTCAATTTGTCTGAACATTTCAGAATAGACTAAACAAAACTAGAGCTTCATCTTTGTAGTTGACACTTTTTTCTGAAAATTGACACCTAGAGAGATAGAGACGCAGACAGTTAGAGTGTCTCACTGTCTGCGCTTCCTATAGCTATATCTATATCTCGGCTCCTAGGAAGGCTAGAAAAATGGTTTTCAGCGCAGAATGTGTTGAATTCTTCAAATTCTTGTTTTTTATTGAATTTGCAATATTTTGAGCTAAAAACCACTTTTCTAGCTATTCTAGAATTCAAGATATAACTATTTGAAGGCGAGGAGACGCAGGAAGAGAGATAGTCTAACTGTCCGCGTCTCTATCTCTTCACTTATCAATTTTTTTTAAAGTTGTTAATTACAAAAATGTAGAAAATTATATTTCACATATTTTATCAGTTGCCAACATTTTGATATCTTAATTGAGAGCAAAGATAATTGGGGTCAAAGTCATGACTTGTAACAATTACAAAAAAAAATTTTATTTTTGGTTTTTGAGCTCTAAAATAGCAACAAAAAAAAAACAAATATTTTTTGGGGAATACCCCAAAAAAACATTTGGGGTTTTTTGGTTCTTCCAGCCGATTGAACAAATATAAAAAAGAGGCATCAACAACAGGAAGACACCAGAGCTCTTTTTTTGGGAAAACAAAAATATCAGGTTTCTAGAAGAATCTAGAATTCAAATTTCCCGCCAAGCCTCTATATCAAAAAGTTGTCCACTAATGAAATATAGGAAATTTAATTTCCTACATGTTTGTAGTTGACACTTTTTTTCTGAAAATCGTTATCTGATGAGATAGAGACGCAGACATTTAGAGAGTCTCGTTGTCTGCACCTACTGAACTTCAAATAGC